GCCTTCTCTTCTCCCGCCTCAGCAACCCCAACTCTCTCAGCCTTTCCTCAGGGCACAGGGGCTCCAGCCCTCGCAGCATCTCCGGGGCCTCCTCCCCACTGGCTCCAGCAGCTCCACGGCCTTCCTGTGCTCAGCACCCCAGAGCTGGAGGCCGGGAGGAGCCCTGCGGGGGCTGCAGCTTCCTGGGGAACGGGGGAAGGTTTGGTTTCCCTGGACAGCAACTCCTAAACGCACTCCTGTGCTGAGGGATAAAATCTCAGGAGCGAAGCCTGTGCTGGGCAGAGTCCTGCTGCCACGGGCGGTTCTTTGTGGAGTCTGCAGGGATGCATTGGGAGCAGATCCTGTCTGTCCCCTGGGCCCAGCTCCCAGCCCGGAGCGGCTCCACGGGGCGCCTGGGCCGGGCCGTGGGTCCATCCCCCAGCTCAGCTCCGAGCTCCCTGTGCTCCCACAAGCCCAGGCTCCAAAGCAAACCCTGGCAATGGGGACACAGGGGCTATTTGGGGATCCTCTGAGCAGTGCAGGTTACAAACAACAGTTTCTCAGGAGGTTCATTGAAAAACAATTTTTACTTGCGCACTTTAGAACATCCAGATAGATTAAGGCAGTTGGCAAGGCTTGGACTTGATTTTGGGGTTCCAATGTATTTTGGGGAGAAGAAGGTAGGAGAAGAAAAAGACAGAGAGAAAAAGGAGAGAAAGGTAGATAGTCACCGGCCTTGGATCCAGCAGGTTTATCTCCAGTGCATGGGAGCACACCACCAAGCACATACCCTTCATCTTTTATCAGTCCCCAGTGCCCTGGGGCCCTGCCCAGATGGGCATGTGCTAACTGTGGCTCCCAAGTCTCCTGCCAGAGCTTTACACAGTGCCAGAAGATTCCTGGTGCCATTTGGAGGCTTAGGGTGTCCCATGTGCCCAAACACCCCATTCCCTTTTATTGTTTCTGAATCAATCTTTGGGGTTTTTTTGTCTGCAGTACTTGAGGGATTTGCTTCCAGGGAAGGTGTTACACAGTGGCTGAGCTGCTCTGAACTTTTCTCCTTCCATATTCCCATTAAATAGAGCACCAGCAACACACTCATCTTGGAGTAAAGCCTAAAGTTGCTCCTTCTAGGACATAAGCTTTGAAACCCTTATCACTTACAGTATTTAAACAAACAACCTCTTGTTTTTATCTTCTATTTTCCCTACAGCTTCTCCTTTATACCTTCTATTTTTCCCACTTCCCACTATTTTAGCTGATGCTTTGAACCAACACACTGAATTTCTGTAAAGTGTTTCTTTTTAGGGAGGAAAAAAAATAACCATTGATCTCGTGTATTATTAAGAAGAGACATAACACTGTGTATGAGAGGAAATGGTCAAATTTGCTAAAGAAAAGACAATTGCGAAACACAAGCATGACTTTTGCTTAACAATAAAACCCCTCTCTGCTTTGGAATATTGTGTTTCTAAGGTGTAATTAATAAAGTGAGTTTATCAACGTAATGAACGAATGGCAATGTAAGGGCATGAAGCTGAATCTGAGGGGTTTAGGCTGGATCTCAGGAAAAGGTTCTTCCCCTACAGGGTGGCTGGGCACTGAACAGGCTCCCCAGGGCAGTGGGCACAGCCCTGAGGCTGCTGGAGCTCCAGGAGCATTTGGACAATGCTCTGAGAGACAGGGTGGGATTGTTGGGGTGTCCTGTGCAGAGCCAGATTTGGACTCGATGATCCTTGTGGGTCCCTTCCAACTCAGCGTATTCTATTCTATTCTATTCTATTCTATCCTATGCGTTAATGACAAAGTTGGGAGTCACTCTGTACTTTGGGAACGTTTTGTTCCCTCAGGTCCCAGTGTCTCAGGAAGCTCTGGGGAAGCTCCTGTTTGCCTGTGGGCACAGCCAGGGGTGCAGGAGGCTGCAGAGTCTGCACCGTCCCAGCCATCCCACCCTGGGGGCTCGGGGCAGTGGGAACTGCCAGAGTCTGAACCCCTGTCCTGCTGCTGCCCATGGGGGCTTTGGAGCTGGGACAAAAAGGTGGGTGGTGATGCAAACCAGGGAAAACAGGACTGGGTTAGATGAGCCTGGCCCAGGGGAACAGACATGCCACTACTTTGGGCACCTTTTCATTTACAGAACTCCTTGGAATGGTCTCAGGTGTCTTGGTGCATGTGTAGCATTCCAAATATTAAACACAAATCCTGTTGCTTCCATGTGTACTGCCTGGACAGGTCTCCTAGTGGGACTTTGCCTGGACAGGTCTCCTAGTGGGACTTGTGTCTTTCTGTGTGGACTGTTCACTGTAGGACAGTCACTGAACATCAGCTGCTGCTCAGATAACAAATACTGAGCTTCATTTCCAGGGAGGACTGGGAGCTGGGGTCTCAGGGTGAACTCTGTGCTGAGAATTATTTCAAACTTTGCAAAATATATCAGTGAGAACTTCTGTGAGGAAATCCTCACTTTTAAGCATTTCACAGATAAAAGGAGAGGTGCACGACAGCCTGGCTGAAAAGTTCACCACAGTTTATAACTGGGGCTTGTGAAAAACCTATTGGAGACGTCAGAACAGGAGTGAACGTGTGTGTGACCCCCAGGCAAGGCCAGAGCAGGGCTCTGCCTCCTGCCTGTTTGGCGGGCATTGGCTGTGCCAGGGGGCCGGGACCGCAGCCCTGCCCATGCCAGCCCTGCCCTGCACCAGCCAAAGCCACTGCAGGCTGGACAGGGGAACTGGGAGTCCAAGGTCCAGCTCACAGAGCGGCTCACGAGTCGGGCCAGCTCTGCCTGGCACCCCACCAGCGCCTTCCCTGCCTCGGTGCCGGCTGGCTGAGCTGTACAGCGAGGGCTCCCTGTGCCCCAGGGTAACACCTGAAAATGGTGGTGCCCCAGGAAAGTGGGACAAGAAGTGCTGCCTGCTCAGTGCCCACAGTGGCTCCGTGGCTGGTCCTGGCACCGTCCTGAGCCCCACTGTGGCTCCAGCCACAGAATCCCAGAATCCCAGAAGGGGTCAGGTTGGAAGGGACCGCAGTGGGGCATCCAGTCCCTGCTCCTGCTCCAGTTATCTCAGAGCACATAACAGAGGATTCTGTCCAGAGAGTTCTGGATTATCTCCAGTGAGGGAGACTCCACACCCTCTCTGGTCTCTGCTCAGTGCTCAGCCACTGCACAGGAAAGAAATTCTTCCTCATATTCAGGTGGAACTTCCTGGGCATCAGTTTCTGCCCGTGGCCTCTTGTCCTAATTCTGGACCCCCCGAGCAGAGCCTGGGCCATCCTCTGACCCCTCCCTGCAGATATTTATATATTTATATATTTATATATTTATATATTTATATATTCATATATTTATATATTATTTATATATTTATACACAGGGTCCTGGCTTGGCCTGGCTCTGGTGGGTGGCAGTGAGTGCCAGAGCCTGCCCGGCCGTGGGGCTGGGGCGGCGGCCCTACTTGGGGTGCATGTTCTGGGGACAGGGCGGTTCGTGGGGCCGGGGCAGGCTGCGGGGCCGGGGCAGGTTCAGGGCACGGCCCATGCCGGGGTAGGCGGGCCCGCGGCCCGGAGGAAGCGCGGCCCGGCCCCGCCTCACGCAGGCGGCACCGCCTCTACTTAAAGCGGGCGCGGAGCTGCTTCTTTCTCCTGCTCCTCCTGCTGCCGCCGGCCCCGCAGCTCCACCATGTCGGACCGGCTGCCCTACAAAGTGGGTGAGTGCGAGCCCCGGGCCGGCCCCGCGCGGCTCCCCCGGGCCGGGCCGGGGAACGCGGCCTCGGCGGCCGTGGCCGGCGGGTCCTGCCCGCGGGGGAGCCGGGCCTGAGCCCCCCCTGCGCTGGGGCAGCGGCCGCGGGGAAAGGGCGGCTCGGGGGGTGCCCGGAGGGGTTTCCCCCGCCGTGGTGCCGCTCTCCTGCCCCGCAGCCCCGGCCCTGCCCCGCCGCTGGGGCCCTTGGCGGGAACGGGCTTTGCTGCGAATGGGAAAGTATTTCCCGGCCCGGGACCTGTGATTCACGTGCCCTGGAGGTTTTGGCGGGTGTTTTTGTGGAGCTGAGACTCACAAAGAGCCCCGATTTTTATAAAGAATTGGGTGTTCCTTGGAGACTGATTTCAGAGAGAAGAACGTTCGTCTCTAAGGCTCAGGTTCATAAATAATTTACCCTGGAGGCTCTGAACCCAAAATACCGCGGGATATTTTTTAAGCAGCCCTGGTAAAGCTGCCGAGCCCTTAAAGGGGTAAGATTCAACCTCCTCTTGATGTATTTGCTTCCATGGTCCTTCCATTGCCTGTTTTCAGGCAGTTTTCAGACCCTGGTTGTAGTACAGTCAGCTCTAACACGTGCGGTAGCTTCAGTGGCCCCAAGCTTCATCCTGCAGCAAAATGGAATTAGCCTGTCTGTGTTAAACCCGCCAGTCTGACTCGGAGTCCTGGTGTTCCCCAGTGCTTTAAACGGCCCCTGTTCACGAGGTAGGTGAAAAAAAGCATCTGACCATGGTCTAAGTGGAATCTTCTGAAATCTCTGGAAGAGCAAACTGAGTAAGAGGGACAGTGGGTTGATGCACCTGGGCATTACCTGTTTGACCCCTGTGTTTTTAAAGCTGGGGTCAGACATGGTGAGTGCAGTAGCCTATTAGAAGCCTCTCTTCATTTTTTTTGCTGAATTTCTACCTTTGTAAAAAGGATCTATAGTAGAAGGCTGGTAACTAAAGTAGTAACGTTCCCTTAAAATAATTTCTGTGCATCCAAGGGGGTAGAACCTGCAGCTTTGCTTTGAGGAGGGGGAAGGTTCCCCTGGGAACCACAGCTCCTGGTGCATTCTCAGGGAGCATTCTACCATACAGGCAGCCCCTCCCCACATGCAGGTCGTTACTGTGGAAATTGGTCTCTATAGGAAATGTTGGACACTTGGGCAGTGTCTTTAAGTGCTTAAGGCTGTGGCTTACTAAATTAATGGGCCTCAGGATGTCTGTGTGCTAGATCACAGCTGATTAATATGCTCATGCAGTGTGCTTTTTTCCAGAGGGGCTCTTAGCTTTGGTCTAAACTCGTTTGAAAGCCTTTTACGATAGTAGAAACGGAGGGAGTAGCTGCAACAGGGTCTAGTTTTCCCCCAGCTCTGCCTCCCAGCTGTTGCTGGGTGCTCAACTGTTGCAGCCAGTGCCTCCCCACGAGTGTGAGAACAGATCCCAAGGTCTCAGCTATTTAAACTCTGACAGCTGTCCTGCTTCTCTCGCAGCCGACATCAGCCTTGCAGACTGGGGTCGCAAGGCCATCGAGATTGCGGAGAATGAGATGCCCGGGCTGATGAAGATGAGGGAGATGTACTCTGGGTCCCGGCCCCTGAAGGGCGCCCGCATCGCTGGCTGCCTCCACATGACGGTGCAGACAGCAGTGCTCATCGAGACCCTCATCGCCCTGGGGGCTGAGGTACAGTGCTGAGCTTCCCCTTCAGCTGCTGGGTAATGCCCTGCCGGGGTCACTGCTCCTGCTTGTGTAACACCTTCGGGAATCCTGGCTGTATTTTTTGGAAGAGGCTGCAGTCTCCCAGTGGATGGATTATGTCTTCTCTCCTTAAGCACAAGCCTTGTTGTGTGTGCTCTGTGCACCTCTGGGGTGTGGTGCCCCCCTGGACAAGCTGCACCTCTGAGTGCCTGTTTTGGGCTGGGTGGGTAGGTGGGTGCAGCAGCTCCATCAGCCGTGTGTGCAGTGCCCCAGGCAGTGCCCACAGTGCTCCCACACAGCCCTGCTGTGCTGGGGCATGCAGTGCTGCTGCTGGCTCGAGCCACTGCCCCCACCACAGATTAGCCTGTATTAAGAACCACACTGTGCCCTGGTAAAGTCAGCAGAATCTAATGAAGCTCTCTGAGAGCTCATGCTGCCCTTGAGCTGTGCAGGAAAACAACAGGGATGCAGTGGGGCTGGGGACTCACTGACTTTGAATTTGGTGCACGTGTGACTCTGCACCAGTTACTCTGGTCCATATTAAACACTGAGATACTAAAAGCCATTTACAGACGTGTCCTATGCCTGACTTGCTGAATGAAGTCCAGAGCTCATGGCTGAGTGTTCACTGTACAGGGATGAAGAGCCAGGCATCTGAGCACTGCTTGTGTGCTGAGCAGGGAGTTGGCTGGAACTCTGATGGATTGTTAAGTTTGTGTGTGATCTGAAATTCCTTCTTCCTGAAGTTTAGCTGCCTGAACTCAGGCTGCCCAGAGGTGCCCTATATGGGATCCCTCCCTGGGAATGGTCCAGAACTGAGCAGTGTCAATGCTGATTGAAAGGCACTGGGAGAAGAGGAAGTTTCCTCTGTACCACCTGTGGCATTGCCTCAAAAAGAGGAGGAAGCAGTAGGTGTGGACACTGTGCCAGGTCAGCCTGGGCAAGGTACAAGCTGCTGTGCAGGTGTTCCTCAGCCTGGTCAGAGCTGTTCCGTGGTTGCAAGTAGTGCAGTGCTGAAGGGGAGCTTTCTGGAGGTACAGCCTTGGCTTTGTTCCAGTCACTCTGTGTATGAAATTCTTGTCCTTCTACAGGATTCGAAAGAGAGCAGTAGCCCCTGAAATTTGGGAAGCTCCTTGCTGCTCCTGTTGGTTGCTCTGTCCCAGCATGGCTGACCTAGGCAGCTGTGTGCTTAGTTCAGCATTGCCAAGCTGCTTTAGTCTGAGCACAACCCCAAATCAGTGTCATATGGGATTCATCTGAGTTGTTCAGGGAGGTGCCTGCAGAGATTTGGTTCCTCTCAGTGTGTTGTGGTTGTGCCTTTAAGGTGTGTGGTGCTGTGTTAGCTCCTTGTTGTCATGTTCTCTATTCGTTTAGGCTTTGACTTGGGTTAGGATTCAGCCCTGGTTCATGTATTCTACCAAACTCTGGTACCAGGGAGGGAGGAATGAAGCTGAAATCATACCCTACGTAATGAGGATGTAGCTCACTGCTGTGCAGTAACCTTGGTGTCCCTTTTTTGGCTGGGTTAACAAAGACAGAATAAATAATCTGTGCCTCAAGAGTGTAAGTTCTGAATTTATAATAAAAATGCATCCTCTTCATAACCACTGGCTCCAAGCCCATCAAGTGTGCCAGTTATTCAAGGATCTGTGTCACAAACTGGTGTTACAGATCTGGGGGTGCAGAGTTGAAGTGGCCTGTGTCTGTATCAAGCTTGAAGTGTAACAATATATAGGTATTCTGTATACTTTGAATGTCCTGATGCCTCCTCACATCATCTGTATTGATATGGGGGGAGCTTACAAAAACCCAGGTGAGGAGATGCAGTGCTTGAGGTCATGGTTTCAGTTTTCCTGTGCCCTTTCCCGGAGTGTTTTCACTGGCAAGTGTTGGTTGTGTAGGCTCAGGTGAGGTGGGTCCTACTGCAGCCCTTACTTTGAAATGTCATTGCTGAAGCAGGGTGTGTATCTGCAAACAGGCTGAAGGATTGTGCCTTATTGCCCCCTCTCCTCAAGGTCTGCAGCCAATGAACACGAAATACCTGCCAGTCAGCCCTGTGGGGAGCAGAGTGGGAAGTGTCTGTGGCTCTGGGGTGTGGTGGTTGGAGCTGCAGTAGGTGTGCAGATCCTTTTCAGTGCAATTCAGCAGCATGCTGTTGCTTTTCCAGGTGCCTGAGCCTAGTTATGAAATCTGTGGAATACACTTAGCTCAGCTGGAAAAGCTTCCATGACTGGAGCACAGAGTGGGAGGTGGGTGAGCATAACCTTGGAGAATGCCTGTTGATTGAGTGTAGTGTTTCAGCTGCATTTCTGACTGTTGTCAGTGCCAGCAGGTGTGTTGCTGCATGTCCATGTTCCTCAGTGGACACTTGCTGTGGGGCTGTTCTGAAAATCTGACCTTTAGTGACCAAAACTTTCCAAACCCACCCTGCTGTGCACTCCTGAAGTTCTATAGCTGAAGTATGCTCTGGCTGTCTGGGGGAAGCACTCATGAGCAAGGAGATGGCTGAATAAGTGGCACAGCTAAAGCTCCCTTACTTTCTCTCCCAAAGTGACATTATTTTCCCTGGCTTAGTCACACACTTAGTTTTCACCTTAATTTCACAGAGCTACTGAGAAAGGCAGGAATCTGCACTAATTTCTTTCTGCTCTTGCCCCCTTTCTAACTCCTGTGCGTGGTAGAGAGTGCCTGATATCTCAGAACTTTGTTCAGCAAACAAAACTTGGGTTGTTTTCCAGGTACAATGGTCAAGCTGCAACATTTTCTCCACGCAGGACCACGCTGCAGCTGCTATTGCAAAAGCTGGTGTCCCTGGTAAGTTATCCATGTTCTAGTTTGGCTGTTCCTGCTAAATCCAACTGTGTACATATCAGGCTCTTCCAAACAAGCTTCAGGACACATACAACCCATCCAAAGCACTCGGGACATTTGATTCAGGCTGTGTTGCATCAGCCTGTGTACAGCACTCCTAACAAAGGCTGTGGCAGTGCCTGCCTGTATCTTACATCTCTAAGCCTGCTCATTAAGATGATTGAATGGGCTGGTGATTAAATAAATGGATTGGTGTGTAGGTGTGTGTAGTTGGAGGTGTTTTGTGCTTTCCAGCAAGTGCTATGCTGAACAGGGGCTGGGGAAGGGAAGTGAACTGCCATGTGCCCTTTACAGTGCCAGGGGCAATACCCAAGGTATTTTTAGGCTAGAGCTGGCCCAGCTGTGTTCCTGCCTGGTATCCCTGAAGTGGTGTATCAGGATGCTGCTGTCAGGTTACTGTCACCTTGCAATGAAGAGCAGTTTCTCAGGGATCAGTATAAATACATTAAGCTGTCTGCTGTGTTGCTCAGCTTAAGGACATGAAATCCTCATGGCTGTGTGCTGGGAACTGCATTACCTGAGCCCAGGTGTTGGCAGAGGCTAAATCTGATTTCTGGCAGCCTGGTTCTCTGCTTTGGGAGGTGTCTCTCATTTCTGTTATAATTAACTATTGCCACAAGTCTTTCCCCATCTGTGGTGCATTCTAGGGCAACAAAGTGGTCCATTCATCAGCTCCTTTGGCATTGCCAGCTTCAGGCATTGCCTCTGCCTGCCTCTGGCATGGGATGTCAAAGGGCCAGGGGGGACTCTTTAGGTGTTAGGTTATTGTTTTCCTCACTGCTCTCAAAACCCAAAACTCCACTGAAGAGCCCTTTACAGGTGGAGTGTTTGTCTGTTTGACCTCTGCCCGTGGTGTCCTCATTTTGTGGAACTTGCTCTTTTTGTTAATATTGCACTTCACATCCTGAATTCGAGGCCTTGGAGGGATGCTGGTCCTTTGGATACAATATGAGATAATGATGCACATTTCTTCAGAAAGGGCAATTGCATGATTGGCTCTTCATGGCTCAAGGTTAGTTTTCTGTGTAAACAGTGAAAACACGACGATTTAGCCAAATGTTGAGGGGTGTAAATAATGTGCCTAATATATGTTTGAGTGGTTGAGTGCCACTGAGGGTCAAGTATAGCACGAAGCCAGTACAAATGCCTGGAAAGACAAATCCTGCTAGACACAACATGCCGGTGGTTGCAGCACCTTGCTGGGGCTGGATGTGCAGAGCAGATGAGGCACCTCAGCTTAGATTTTAGTGCTGTGCTAGAGAATAAAATTTAAACTCAAAGTTGCTGAAGAGTTTATATTTTGCTGCTCAGCTCGTGCTGTAGTCTGGTCCCTTTTTTCTGCTGTGCTAGAAACTGCTGTAGTTGTGTTTTCATTTGTCTGTACCAATATGTCCAGTGGCTGTTTCTAATTCCTGGTAGCGTAGGATGTATTAGAGGAGCCAGTGAGGTGTTGTGGATGTGAGTCTGCTTTAGTGTACTTTGCCTTCTCTCTCTTAACCTGGAAGAAGAATGAGAGCAATGAAGTCTCAAGATTTTGACCATGTTTGTGGCCTGGAACAAGAGGCAACGTGATTTAATCTTTGCTCATTCTGAGATCTTTTTTTCAGTACAAATGTCTTTTCTGGCCTGCAGGCACGGATAATCATCTATCTGTTGGCTGCTACTGAGAGCTGCTGATGAAATGTTTCTTTGGCTGCTTCACTACATGCTGAGTAAGAAACTGGTTAATGGTGTGTTTGTTCCCATGTAGTGTTTGCCTGGAAAGGGGAGACCGACGAGGAATATCTGTGGTGCATCGAGCAGACCCTGTATTTCAAGGATGGGCAGCCCCTCAACATGATCCTGGATGATGGTGGAGATCTTACCAACCTAGTTCATACCAAGTACCCACAGCTCCTGAAAGGTGATTGTGTTTTGTTTTGTCAGGCACAGCTCTGCCTGGGAGGCTGTTGGGGAGTGTTTCTGTGGGAATTCCCTGCTGGTGGAAAAGGGGTGGGGGAAGAGGGACAGGCATGTGCAAACAGGCTGGGAAAATTGCTTACAGCCCAAGACCAGAATCTCTTACCTGCAGGAGCTGTTTGCATCTCTGCTCTGTAGTACATAAGGTCCAGTGACCTGTCCTTCTGACCATCCTTCACAGTGCCCATTGCCTGAGACTGACCAGTGGTTCTGCTGTCTTGCCAAAAGCTTCCTGGAAAAGGGCTGCATTCTATGATTGCTCAATGTCTGTTTGCAGTTAATATCTTTAACATTGATGCATTTCTTCCCCTTCCTCTTGGTGCAGCTCTGGATGAAGTCATGACAACCTGTAGCCTTTCTTGGAAAGGGAACAGTTTTCTGCAGTGTAAGGCATTAATTCACCCAGTTTGACAGTGAAGAGGCTGGTGGAGCCAGCATTGGGACTCTTGCTTTGACTTTCCTTCAGTGCAAGTTAGTAAAACTGAGAATAGGCTGTTGTTGCTAGAACATGTTTATATAAAAGATTTATGTGAAGGGAATTTGGCATGACCAGGCTGATCTGTGCCTGGCAAGTGTGACAGACTCTCCTCAGCCCTGCCCAGTGTCCATCCCCTGTGCTGCAGCAAGCCACGGGTGCCCAGTGTTGCTAAAGGCATCTGGGAGTGAAGAAAATTGGGTGGTGATACAGTGGGGTGTGCTCATGTTCTTGTCTATAGAGCTGAGGTTGCTGTAGGAGCCCCCTGGGTCAGCTCTTCTCTGACTCTTCCTCTGCTTTAGGAGGAAGATGTGGGGGAAAAAATCTGAAGGGGGCAGGCTGTGGGTAGGGCTGTGTGAGAGGAGTCTGGGGCTCTGCTCCCCATCCATGTGCTTGTGGGGGTAGGAACACCAGGAAGAGGGAAACTTTCTCTGTGACAGGCCTCACTTTCTCCTTCATCCTCAGCCTGATGTCACTTGTAATCCATGTGTTATTTGAACTGTACTGAGAGGTTTTCATTGGTTTTTGCTCAGCCATGCTGGGCTCCTCTCTCTTCCATCAAAGCTCTTGTGCTTCCTGGGTTGCCCCTGTCTGATGCTCATGACCTCTTGCTTTTCTCATGTTTTTGATGCCAAAGAATACCACGGCTGATCACGCCTCTCTGTCTTCCTGGCATTGTAAGAGGCCAAAAAAGGCATTTTCTGTGTTCCCACTCTGTTTTGCAGGGTTGTTTCCCTGCCATGCCCATGTAGTACCTCTGTTGGTGTCCCTGTTCCCAGGGGTCCTTGAGCTGAGCTGCTTTCACACTTCCAGCCCTCTTGCTTTCTGCTTCTTTCCCCCCTCCAGCCCTTTGCTCCTTCTTGCTTGTCTTTGTGCTCCTGGTGTGGAAGGGACCAGCATAATATGGTGCAATAAGGTAATGACTGTTGAACTGTCTCATGTCTTGGCATCCATCTCTGATAAAAACATCCCTACTGCCTGGGTTTGCTTCCTAAATTCATAGGAATGGCTCTTCCTCTTGGTTTTCAAAGGGTGGAGGCAGGATATCATACCAGTCAACATTTCCCTTGCCAAAGTGTGTGGCCATCTGCACTGGCTGTAGTTAAAAAGCCTCCTTGCAGCAGTTCAGTAAGTTGAGTGATCTCTGTAGAGGGTGACAGACTTGATCTGTTTTACCTACCAGTCCATTGCTCCTTGGAAACAGCAAAACTTCCAGAATGGGACCCACTGAGTAGAGTCTTGATCTCATTTGTCTGAGCTCTGTCCTGAGCCCTCTGCTGCAAAGTCTGCTTAAATGGAGCTGTGTAGCATCCATTTTCATGTGTCTTGAAGATGATAGAGGCTAATATATCCTGAGGGCTTGTGGGGATATTTGACCTCTTTGCTGAGAGGTAGAACAAGAGTAACATTAGCAGAGTATGTACAGTGTGTGTCAAGTGTGTTGATTGTGGGCACAGGAGACATTTGGGAATGAGGCATTTAATGGGAATGAGGCAGCTCAAAGTGCCATTTAAAGGCTGGAAAAATTTTCTGGGCTAATTTCAGAGGGAATTGTCTTCTGTGCTTCAGCTGCTTCTAATTTAAATAGTTGAGTCCTAGTGTGCAAATAACAGTTGCAAGTAGGCCTCCTTCAGCAAGGAGATGTGTTAAATACCTCTGGAGCTGCTCAGCAAGCTTCCCCTGTCCTTAGTGGTGCCTGCTGTTAGAGGGCAGAATGGCCTTTGTACCACTGGCCTATTCCATTCAACTAAATTCCCTTAATAGCAAGATAAAAAAAGGTGGGGAGGGAGAAAACACTGAACAAAGGAGAAAGTCGTGTGAGCTTTTACAAGGGAGGTTTCTGGCATCTGTGCAAAAGTCCACTGTTGAGAAAGGATGGAGAAGACTGGATCAGTTGTGATCCATTGATTCATGTTTGCTTGTTTCTTAGGTAAGAAATACAGGGGAGCAAAGGGGTCTGGGTGCTTAGCAAGGCTTTTCCAATTTAGTCCAACCTTTTCCTTGCTGAATGCCCTTCTCTGTTCCCCAGTCACTTGAATCCCTCAGGCTTTGAACATGAGATATGCAGGCAGCACTTGGAGCAGCTGCAGAGTGGTTTACAGCAGCTATAAATGTCACCTGGGGCAGTGTTCAGGTGGCCTTCAGAGAGGAGAAACTGCTGGCATACAAGATGGGAGGTTTGCTTAGTGCCATTTAAAGGTAGTGTGCTAAGCTCAGGAATGTCATCTGGAGAGCTCTGAGTGTGTCTTCCAGCTGCCAGACTAGAAGAGAGAAGGCAGATCTGAACTGGAGGTTCCTGCCATGACCTCCCACAGATTTCCTTCACGAGGGGATGGATGTACTTAATCCAGGCAGTTGCACTAGACCATCGATGCTTTTGGGAGGCTTACTGCAGATGCTCCATTTCACTGGGCATGAGGCAATGTTCTTTAAACTGTCCTGTCCCCTCCATGGAAGCCCTGAATATGCCAAAGCCTGGATGCATTCCCTGTGCAGGTGACCATCAGGGGAGTGGGGTTGTCTGGGGCTCTGTGGTGAGACACGGGTTGGGGATCAGTTGGCCTCCTCTCAGAATGGTCTGGGTTGAGAGGGACCTTTAAAAGGCCATCTTGTCCAACCCCCCTGCAATGTGCAGGGACACCTTCAACTCACGTTGCTCAGATCCCCTTGAATGGTCCCAGGGATGGGGCATCCACCAGCTCTCTGGGCAACCTGTACCAGTGTCTCATCACCCTCATTGTAAAAAAAACCCCAAATTGTGTGCCCTGTGTCTAGTCTGAATCAATCCTTCTTCAGTTTAAAACCATTTCCATTGTCCTGTTGCAACAGGCCCTGCTAAACAGTCTGTCCCCCTTTTACAAGCCCACTTCAAGTACTGAAAGCCTGTGGTGGCATCTCCCTGGAGTCGTCTTCTTCTCCAGGCAAATCCAGCTCTTCCCTTCTAGTGGCATTGGTCTCATGTCCTTTCTGTGTCACAGAGTGCTGGTGCCTCTGCCTGCTGGCTGGGGAGCCATGTGCAGGTCTCATGGGTCCCTCTCAGGCTCCACTGAGGCATCTGTCCAAAATCTGGTGTGAAAACCACATTGAATTGCACTCAGAGGCTTGGCCTGAAGGTGCTCTTGGTTTGTGTTGCTCCCCTGAGCTTGGACCACCTCACAGCTGGATTTTTTTTTTTTTTAAACAGTGGGGGGTGGGTTTGGACCAGACTGAGCAGCTGTGTGTGACTGCCCTGGGAGGGGGTGTTGGGCTGGGGGCTGTGGGGGCAGCGCTGTGCTGGGGTGGGACTGGGGAGGGGCAGTGGAGGGCACTGCTGTGCTGGAGATCAGGGACTCTGAGATAAACTTGGGATTCCCCTTCCCTCCCTTTTGCCCTGCTCCCCCTTAGAGGGGGTGCCCTGGGCTCTTGGCAGCTGTTTTCATCCACGACTGTTCCAGCCAAGCAAATGAATCCCAAAGGGTTGGGGCAAAGCACCCTTCCTGCCTTCCCCTTCCTCCTGCCTTCTCCTGGCTGGGAGGCACAGCATCCCTGGGTGCTGGAGGGTGCAGAGGTTTGTGGCTCAGAAACACATCCTCTGGCCTTCATTGCAAGACTGTGGTGTTCTTGCAGGGTCCTCAAGGAGCCTCCCTGGAACCTGCAGGCCCCTGGGCTGCCTGACTTCTTTGTCCTCTGGGGGTAAAACCAGCTGCCCAGCTGGAGGGGCCAACCACAAAATCCTTTAGGTTGGAAAAGACCTTTAAGATTGAGTCCAGCTGTTCCCCCAACACTGCCAAGCCCAGTGCTAACTCATGTCCCCAAGTGCCACATCCACATCTGATCTTGCTGCCTTTGTCCCTGCCCTGGGGCTGTGCTGCTGCTGTTGCTCCCAGCAGTGATGGCTGTTCTTGTGCTGTTCAGAGAGGGGATTGTCCAGTCCTATGAATTTCTCAGGGGTCTTGGTGGGTGGGGAGGTGGTGGCACTGGGACACTTCTCCTCTGTGCCCAGAATTAACAAACTACATTAATAATTTTGGGGGATTTTGCTGGGGGGTTGTTGTTGTTGTTGTTAGTTCCCTCTTACTCATCCCTAAAGTAATATTGGCTGTCGAGGTGTGTGGGCTGGGCTGTGGGCAAGGAGCTCTGCCAGTGCTGCTGCCTGGTGATCTCAGGCAAGTCCTTTGGCTTCCCTGCTGTTACTTGTGACATTTAAAGGTAGGACTCACCTTTCTGAAGTACTAGGAGGGCTGTGGATAGAGTGTGGGTGAAAAAAAGATGAGTGTAGGAACTGTGAGTAATTACGTGTTATATAGTGAGGGAGACAAATTAAGAAAAATGACATGAAAAGGGACAATATTTGTGTCTGTCCATGTGCACTCACATGAGATAGCCTGGGCTGTCACCTGCTTCACCAGTTAAAAGGACATGAATAGAACAATTAGTGAATGTTGTTTATTTCTTAGAGTTTTTCTATCAAAATGGCTGTAAAATTATTTTCCTGAGGAGCATCCTGTCAGTCTTATTCCATGAGGTCAGTGGGAGAGGTTGCTTGCCTGGAGAGGGCAGTGTCTCCTCTGCAGAGATTCCTGGCATGGGTAGACCTTCTTATTCATAGGTTTCATAGCTCCTCTTTTCTTGTGGATCTGAATCAGCTCCAGATTAGTGAGTATCCAGATTTGGGGGGTGTTGGCTGTTTAAGCAGAGCTGAAGGAGATTACAACAGGAGGATTGGGAATGGTGAGCTGTGTATTTGATTTTTTTTTTTCCCCCCAATTGATCCAAGTGCTTTAGTTTTAAGTGTGGTTGTCTGGGTATCATCTCCTTTCGGGCCACTTTCTAGAATGGACTATGCTGGTAAAACATCACTGAGGTGAACATCTTGTCCTTTTTGCAGAGGATCATTTTGTGAGGAAAATTAGAGTGGGGAATCCTTTTGGTTCCCTGATCAAGAGCTGGTCCCTTTCTTTTTTTTTCAAAGAGTATTTTGTCCTGCTGTTTTTTAATTGCCTTGTGGGGGAAGAAACTTGAAGTTCCAAACTATTGTTTCAGGATCCAGATTAGGGTTTTCATCTCTTCCCTGCTCCCTGCCAAGGGTTTGTTTAACTTCAGGCCTCTGGAGGATGGTCCCAGCACTGGTATGTGCTGGTTTGCAGCAGCAGTAACTCCAGCTAAGGTGAATCCTTTTACTCTCCCCACAGGAATCAGAGGTATTTCAGAAGAGACAACCACTGGAGTTCACAACCTGTACAAGATGAAGGCCAATGGGACGCTGAAGGTTCCAGCGATCAACGTTAACGACTCTGTCACCAAGGTGATGCAGATGGACCTTCTGCCCTCTCCTGCTCTCTGACCAGCTTGGGGTTGGGATGTTGTCATTCCCATGCAAGTCTTCCTTCTCATCCTGGGTTATTCTTGACCTGGTGCTGAGCAATTCCCACCATATCCTTGAAGTGAACCTGTGATGTCTCTAGTGGGACGTACCATTGTAAATGTCCCGTTTTCAGAACATCAAGGTTTCTTTTGCACATAAGGACATGCATTCTTCTGCTTTTTAATAATGTGAAAACCCCTTTGGGAATCATGGCTCCTGGGGCACAGTCAGTTCCTGGGGCAAGGAGCCTGTCCCCACTCCTGAATACAGAATTCCAGAATGAATTAGGTTGGAAAAGACCTCTGAGATCATCAAGTTCAACCTGTGACCCAACACCACGTTGTCAACTAGACCGTGGCACTGAGTGCCACGTCCAGTCTTTCCTTAAACACCTCCAGGGACAGTGACCCCACCCCCTCCCTGGGCAGCCCATTCCAATGTCAGGTACCAGCTGGAAAAGAGAGTGTGACCTGCATGAGCTTGTGGCTGATAAAGGCTGGTTGCTCAGCCTCTGGCTGATCTCTGTGAGCAGCAGTTCCAAGGACAGGGCAGGAGGTGTTTATCCCTTGCTTAGCTTTGTTACTGCTCCCCAGGATAAATCCTGGTGAATCCAGGATGAGGTGGAGTGCTGTTTAAAGGGTGCTGCTGCTTTTTGGCTGCAGGTGAATTACAGTGGGAATTTCAGGTGTATTTGAGGTTTATGCATCTTGATGGTTTTAAATCCAATTGCTGAATCTATTTTGACTTCCCATGTGAACATTTTCCTGTTGGGCTTGGCAATTCTCATGGACTGCTTGGCTTGCCTTCCCTGCAGTGCTGTCTGGAGAGCATCTCCTTTCTGCTCACTGAGATGCATCCAACACTTTTATTTCCTAGCTAGTGGGCTGGATTCCAGTTGATATTGGAAGAAACTTGTTTCTTTGACATCCTTTTCACCTAGATTTGTGCCTCTTGCATAATAACTATTAATGCTGTTTAGTAGATTTGGAAATCCAGATGTTCCTATAAAAGCCTGTTGAGTTGATTTGGGTTGAGCTCACTTTATTCCAGTGCCAAAAAAGTGCTTATTTTCGAGTACTGTTTGGTGTTTATATTGTACAATATTTGTACTAACCACAGTTGCAGACCTCTGGGAGGATGTGCAACTGAGCTGACATTCTGCTCTCCCAGTTCTTGGCAGTTGGTGCCAGGTTCCTGTGCTAGTATTTGGAGAGAGAAGGCAGGCAGCAGCCAGTTCTGTTCCTCCCTTCTGCCACTCAAGTGTATTTTGGGGGGGGACAGATGTCTGCATCCAGCATGGGAATGCACAGACACCTGGATTGCAGGCAGTGATGAGGAATCAGGTCTGACCATGCTGTTTTCCTCCATAAGAAGGCTTATACTGCAAGGAAAATCTGATAGGGGAGTGGGAAAGAAAATTGCCAGCTGGTGCTAGCTTTGGAGTTTGAAGGATCAGTAACACAGATTTTCTGAAATATTAATGGCAGATGTGCCAGTGATAAGACTTGGAGCCACTGAGTCAGGAACTTCTGGATCTGAGGTAGAAGTTGTTATGCATTAGTCCTTGGCCAGCTCCTGAGGCTGGGAGTGACCTGCTGCTACTCCTTGCTCAGATAATGCATTGGAGGAGGAGCAGCAATGGTTTTAAATGTGGAGTTTGCATTTATTTTTTATTACAAAGACTTTACAGTTGTAAGCTGTAGATGGAAAACCAAACTGTAACATCACCTGATGTGGCACCAGCTGCAAGGGGGGTCCCATTTGAAAGAGCAGTGCCCCTGCTCACAGAGAGCCTCAGAATGGTTGGGGCTGGAAGGGACGTTAAACCTCATCTTGTTCCAACCCCCTTCCATGGACAGGGACACCTTCCACTAGACCAGGTTGCTGCCTCTTGGTATTTAATGTTAAGATTGCCTACAGCAGACAGTGTTAAGTAAAAAGGATTGGTGCCCTAAGGCTGTAGATGGCCCAGGCAGGCTTTGAGACCAGAATTTTCCTGTGAATGGTAAACATTAGTAGCCAGAATTTTAAAAATTCTTGGCTTTTGTAACTCTCCAGATAATGAAATATTTTTGGACAGCTCCTCCTCCTGGTCAAAACAAAAGGCCCAAGGAGAAGGAACATCACAAAAATAGTACAGCAATGTGTGTTTCTGGGTTTAGGAAGGTGTTCAAGTGGTGAAGTAGTGTTTGACATCTGACTTAGCAGGGCAATTTTAATTTGAGGGTCTGGCTGTTAATCTCATGTGATAGTGTTACAACAGGAGGATGTTGTGTGATGGGGCATTAGGAGATGCAATCCAGGGGTTCCTGATTGCAGTGACCACTATTGTGAATGGATACTTGCTGGATTTTCCTAAATCTGAGCAATAGTGAGGCGTTGACAGTGTTCTTTGTCAGCTCTTCACAGGGGAAGATGTAATTTTGATCTTCTTGGGCTGCAGGAACCAGTTTCTTGTGATTTATGAGGGCAGCTTGCTGCTCTGCAGGGTGTATTCTTGCAAACATAAGGTGATCTGCTGGTGTATTTTGCCTGCCTGTGGCACTTGGTTCAGTTCACTGTCTGATAAACAGCAGCAGAGAACTGGTGAACATCTGGTTAGGGCACTCAGACCTACCTCTGTGTACAAGAACTGCTTGTGCTTTTACTTGATAAATTCAGGTTACCAGTAACAACTTTCTAACATGTCCAAGCCCTGTTCAGTGGAGAGGATGTATTTGTAAAATGCTTTTTACCTGGGACGTGTCAAAGCCTGTGTCTGGTATAACTCCATAGATGGAAACTGGATAAATTAAACCATCAAACCAGGTTGCCTTCTTCCCATCCCTCATGGTGGTTAAAATATTTAGCTGACTCTCAGCCTCCTTGCACAGAAGTCCATTTTCCTTCTGTAAGGAAATTTCACTTGAGTGCCTTTGATCTGTTCTGAAACCGCTCCTTTTTCTTCCTCAGAGCAAGTTTGACAACCTTTATGGCTGCAGAGAGTCCCTCATCGATGGCATCAAGCGTGCTACAGATGTGATGATTGCTGGCAAGGTGGCAGTGGTGGCAGGTTATGGGGACGTGGGCAAGGGCTGTGCCCAGGCCCTGCGGAGCTTCGGGGCCAGAGTCATCATCACTGAGATCGACCCCATCAACGCCCTCCAGGCAGCCATGGAAGGTGAGGGCTGCAGGAGGGCAGGAATTAGGGCATCTGGTGGGCATCTCTGCATGTAGAGCAATAAATGAAAGTTGGCCGAGGAGGCTTCAGCCCTGCCTCTATTGAGGTAGAGTTGAATCCATTTTGAGTGTAGGAATTCTTTCCTTGCAGTTAAGGAGGAGTTTATTACTAGAGGCCTTGGAGATGTGTTTGGAGTTAAGGATTCAGACCATAGTGGGGTAAGGCCCCATTTCATAATGCTCTAAGCCTGGTTTTGAGGGGGTTTATTATCCTCAGTGTCCAGTGTGGGATTAGACTTCACTGGAATATCTCCACATTAAAGCACCAGGCCTTCCCCTCAGTAGATGTCTGTGGAGGGCAATGCCCTGCTCTCTGCCTTTCCAGCTGTGCTTGTGGCATGCTCTGGAAGCTGTGCTCCTTCACTGCTGTGGATGCCTCATGGAACTGGGCTTCTTAGTACAGTTTATCCCATTTCTGTTCATACCTGAGTAGAACCTGCAGGTGCTGTGGGTGCACTTTCCTTTGCAAACTTCACCCCTGAATCTGGTCTGTGTGCTGTGCCAGATATCAGCCCTGTGCACATAAGATGCTGAATGTATAGTTCTGCACATTAGAAAAGGTGAGGGATGGATATTTTCATGATACTTTGGTGTTCAGCAAGACAAATATGCCACTACTTTGCATCATCCATAGATCAGCTGTTTTTGCTCATAAATAAGACTTTTTACTCGTTCTTTTTCTGTACTTTTCTACTTCCAGGATTGTATCCCACTTGTTAATAAATGCTGGTTGTTGGGTAAAGAAATAACTTTTTCTCATCTCAGGTTATGAAGTTACAACCATGGAGGAGGCCTGCAAAGAGGGCAACATCTTTGTCACCACCACGGGCTGCACTGACATTGTGCAGGGCAGGTATGGTCAAGCCACTTGCTTTGGTGAAAGGATACCTGTACAGTTAGATTTGAGTTTTTTTTAATATAATCATAACATGTCAGCAGTATGGTGAGGGTGAGCACACAGTCTCACTTCTGGACATCAGAATTTCACATGAATTTAGTGAGAAATTGGGCCTTTGGTCTTTCAGTTCTGTTGGATGTCGCACCACTGCAATTGTTCCTGTCTTATGGCAGGAGAAACAAGGGATAGATAGAGACTTTTGGAGCATGAGAACATCAGGGCTAAATCCTGTGTTAGGTCAGATAAATGTGAACAGAAGAGGAGGCAGGTAAAGGTTGAAAGTAGTTCCATCTGTGAGTACACATAACCTTGAAACCATCCTGTTCTCAATGAACTGCTCTGCAGTGCTTTGTTACTGCTTCTTGGATCTCAATTTATAGCCCCAACTCCACACAAACTCCTTCCTTTCTTTGCCATGGGGATTGTATATGTAATGGAAGATCAGATTAGGTGGGAGGAGATAAGGCCATTAGTCCCTAGAGATGTAAAACTGCTGGAAACTTCAAAGTCATGGAGAAAATGAGTTCTGTGTAGGAAGGAGAGTAACTGCAGGTATTTGTTTTGACCAATTAAACAAAATAGTATTATTTTCCATACTGGGGAAAATATAAGTTATTGCATCCTTGGGAAGTGTCCTTCCCTAGAAGCTTGAGAGTTTTTTCCAATAGTCTTCTCAGACCCACACATTATGAGAGTCAGATGCAGTCAGTGATCCAGGCACTTGTCCTTGTCCCTGAGCAGAGCTATGGACCAGAGCATCTGCTGCTGCTAGAGGAGGAGGACACGTTTTTTGTGTGTTAACTTCTGATACAGCTGTTTTTCTTTTGCAGGCACTTTGAGCAGATGAAGGACGATGCCATAGTGTGTAATATTGGCCATTTTGATGTGGAAGTTGATGCAAAGTGGCTGAATGACAATGCAGTGGAGGCAGTGAATGTTAAACCTCAGGTGAGACAGCCCTTGCCAACCTCTCCTCCTACAAAGAAGCAGCAGCTGCTCGGTGTCTGGTTCCATCCAGTGCCCAAGTGTTCAGGGTGGTCTCTGGGGAGAGGTGCCTGCTATGGATACATCTTTCCCCATGTGCTCCTACTTCCTTGGCAGAAGGAGCCAACCCCTGAGTGGTGATTGTGTAGACAATTAATTGCATCGAGGGAAGTGAGCTTTGATGTTTGGGGAGTGGTGAGGAGGTAATAAGCACATGTGCTTGCTTTGATAGCCCTGAGCTGAAAATAATGCCAGAGCTAGTTAGGTGATGAATGCAGAGCAGACCACCAGAGACCCTATAAAAGCTTAGAACTGATTGTCCTGTGGCTGATCTGACTTTCCTCTTGGGAAGCTGCTTGCTCGAGTACTGCTCTGCACCAGGACAGTCTTGGTCCTGAGGGGATGTCCTTTGGGATCATGTGAAGGTTTGAAAATATTCACACCTCTTTGTTTTCAAAGCATTTTTTTTTTTACTTTGGCATTCAAGCCTCAAGGAAGCTTTTCTGGAGCTCTGCCAAACTCAGACTTCTCTTCTGGACTTGGTGGCTTCATTTTGGAAACCTGTGCAGCCCAGAATGTGTGGGCAGAGCAGGGGAGATGTTTTATCCTTGCTCAGCTGGTATTCCCACCATGTGTTTACTTTAAGCTATGGCTGTAGCTACACAAGGAAAACAGATAAAAATTTCAGCTTTCCAGCTGTGTGTCCGAAAGCAGAGAAACAAAACTAAACGATCAAAACTGTTTTGTAACACCAGCATTGAGGGAAGACCATCTCATAAAGCAAACCAGGCTTTATCTGACTTGGCATGGGACTTGTGGTGACCTTTTGAAAAGTCACTGTGCTTGCTGATAGCAGGATTGTGGGACAGGTTTTCTACTTTTTAAAAGCCCACACCCAAACCTACCTCTCAGATCTCAATCTGCCCTTCCAGTTTTCTTAACTCCCCTGTGGCTTTTTAGCCACCCACATCTGACTCTTACTGAGCAGTTCTGAGAGGCTTTTCAGTATCCTGGGACACTCTACATGGCCTCAACCAGGTCTGAAGTTACACCCTCAAGTTCTCACTGTTCAAGTTTGTTCTTGCTCATGCCCTTAGTGTGGAGCTGACTGTGCTGAGCAGCTCTTGCCACAGAGGAGCCCACAGGTGCTTTCTGATAGCTCAAGTTGTTTTAAAACTAAAACTGGGACTGCTTAAAGAAATAAGCATGGTTGAGTGTTTAATTAGATGTTAATGTGGTACCATACATGCACAGAGGCAGTGATCCCTTTTGCTTTATGTGCTCTGCATTGAGGAGCCAGTCTGTCACCCATGGATTGGGTGCAGTGGAGTCCCAGGTATGAAAACTGTAACAAATTTCTGGTTAAAAAAAATTACCTTTCAAAAAAAAGATGGATTTGGGGTCGAGGTTGTCCATGAGGATTAGTGCTGAAGAAATCCTGCCCTGACCCTCTGTTCTAAACTGCTGCTGTCACAAGGAGGTGATCAGTGATGCAGAGGAGATCCCTGCTCACAGAACACAGCTCCCAGCATGCTGGGGCTGCCACAAGTGTGTTTGCCTGGAATTCCTTAGCTGAGGTTTGACAAAGGTGCCTCTGCCAGCCCTGGATGGGCCATCTCTGTCTCTGCTTGGTGCACAGGGAGCTGGAGCTGAGAGGGTTTACTGGGGAAAAATAGCACTGTACCCTTGGGCTCTGGTGCTTCTCCTTACTCACCTGCTGCTTCCCACTGGAGATGGGATGTGCCTAGAGGTAAATCTGCCCTTCCCTGGCCATTCCACATGCTGGGAGCTGTTCTGAGGTGAGGATGGCCTGGACATGTGTACATTGCCCACCCCAATGAAAGTTGATCCTGGCTCAGTTAGTTTTGACTCCTGGCAGTGAATGTGGAGCACTGGTAACTGGTTTAGTCTCCAGTTGCACTGTTGCATTTAATGCTGTATTTATTTATAATATTTCATGTTACACTGTGGTAGTGGCATCCCCCTGTGCTCCATTTCGTGTCTGGATTTCTTGTCCCTAAAGACTTCAGACCTGCAAGACAAGGTGGGGAAGCACCTGCTGAGCAGGTGTTACATGAACAGGTTTTGTCAAAGAGCTTCATTATTTGAAATTTCCCTTCTCTGTGCCTGGTTGCCATTTTGGCTGGGCAGCTGAGCAGCAGGGAGCTAATACACATCTAAAACCTTCCTCATTTCAGAAGGGGGGGAAAGACAGGACTGGGAGGCAAAATGTGACTTTAGGCCCCCAAACTCTGTGCTGGAAACAAGAGGTGTTGAGTAGGAATTTGCTGCAACTGCTTCACTCTTCCAGGACATGCTTTAACTTGGGGTTTAGAAACAGGCTCCAAGGAGGGAGGTTCTGCAACTTCTGTCCCTCACCCTGTACATGTGTTGAGACCATTGCAATAATTGCTAGAATTGCTTTCACACTGAACTCTGATTTGGCACTTAGGCCATTGCTCATTTCTCCCTTTTGTTGCTCAGATTCATTAAAGGGCCACTTCCATGGTCACATGGTCCCCAGTCTTTTGAACACCTCAGGGGGAGGTCAGTCTTCTCTTTAAGATGTAAAATCCTGCACTTATTTTAAGGATAACACATTCCCATCAGTGTTCTGGGTGAGGTATCCTATATAATGCCAAGTATTAACTCTCTAAATACTCACATTTTTACCAAGACCTGGCAGCTCCTTTTCTGTATCCTGTAGCAGAGGGGAATGTAGTACAAGAGCAAAAATCCCTCACTTCTATGGAGACATCTGTGTTCTTGATTAGAGGATTAATGCTGGAGCTGAGGGTTGTTGGAGTTCAGCTGCAGGTTCAGAGTAGCTGAGAACGTGTCCAGCGTGGTGGTTTCAGTACCACATGGTCTCCATTTACAAATGGTGATCTGGTGTAAAAGATGTTTAATGCTTGGGACAGAAAAACACAACTTATTGTGCTATTTGACTCGTGTTGCTTTTCAAAGGACAGTTAAGGGCTGCTCAGCTGTGTTTGGAAATTAGGGACTGACCTGTAGCACAAGCTCAACTCCAGAGGAGAGGGAAGGGTCAAGGTCAGTGAACTTTGGCTCTGTAAATAAATCTTGTTTCATGGAGTGGAGGGGAAGTGCAAAGCAGCCAGAAAGTCCAGAGCAAGCTAAATGCTGATGGGGAAAAGGAGAGGATGTTTGAATAAGCATGGAGAGGAACTTACTGCTTGGATAACTTCAATTCTACTTCTGTAGCAATGTTTTGGGCTTATGAATCAGCCTATTATTTACCTGTGTGAGAAATGTCTTTCCACAGAACTGACTTGAGTCTCTTCTGGTGCCACTACCTCTGTGTAAAGGCATTAATTTGCTTTTTTTCTGTTACCCTCTGCACTGAATGGTTCCTGTCAGAGGTTGCTGAAGGTATGTGGTCCATGCACAATCCAGCAGCTGTCCAGGGGCAGGTTGTGTGGATATTACATGGATATAAGATTTTGACACCTTAAACCACCCAATTCAGACTTCAAAACTGAAATGCTCCTTAACTGCTTAACTACCTTGTAGTTGAATCTGTAAATATAATGTCTGGTTTAGGTAATATTGTAGCTGTTCTCAGGGGTTTTAGTGTTGTTCTTCCCTCTTCATTTTGTTGATTCCTCCCAGAATCTCCTGATGGCCTTTATGTTATTTTTTGGGTGGACTGAGCACTGTCACTGGTGGTCCACACTGGAGAATTAGCATCCATAATACCTATAACTACCCAGGGGGGATCATTCTTACCCTGCCTTGCTGTGTGCTTTTGGGCAGGACTAGTTAAGACTTTTTTAGCCCTGCTGTTTAAAGTGGTTACTGCCTGCCTGTGTTGTGCTGAAATCACAATAATCTGTTATGTGAACCCAAGAATAGAAAGTAGTGCTGGGATCGAAGCATAGCTGGGGCACAAACCTGCTCTGAAGGCAAATTACCTGTTCTAAAACAAGGGGTTTTTTATTGGTTTGTTCTTGACATCTCTGCTAAAATCCTGCACAAAGATGGTTTTTCAGAAGCTGGTGTTGTTACAATTAAAGCTTCATCCCCTGTGGCTTCTGGCTTACAGGTCAGAGCTTTAAGGATAAAATTGAAAATGCTGTGTTTAGCTTAATAGTAAAATAACTTTTAGTCTCTAAAGTATAAATATAGCTGTGGGGAGAGACCCTTTTAGGCATTTTGCAGCTGCTGTGCTGTGCCAGCAGAAGATAAATGGTCTGAAGCATTAGGTTTTGTCGAAAGTTGGTCTTCGATTATCTTTCAAGTATTTTCAAAGTGCTCTGTTTCCAAGTGCTTGATGTGGCATGAGCAATAAATACCAGTTAATACTGAACATTCTTGTGACTTATAGGCTATATTGTTGTTTCATTAATTACTTTAATATTGCAACCCCCTACAGGGTGAAAGCGGGGGAGAAGAGCTGTGAGAGGTATAAAGGAGAAGCAGAGTTAAGTTCACCATTGCAGGTGCCTGGTCTGGCCCAGGCAGCTGAGGCACACGTGAAGTGACGTGTTTGTGTGGGACTGTCACACAGATGTGCCTCCTTAGCCCATCTGAGACCTGACTGTGTGTGCAGAGTCCTGCTGTCCCCAGGGCAGCCTGGGGACCATGCCTTTGGTCCCCCAAGAGCAAAGGATGGCACCAGAAGCCAGGATGGCAATTCATTGTGTGTGTTGGCCTTATGGAGGTGGAGGAAGTTCCAGGGGACCTCCAGCAGGGTGGGGGCTCTGCCTCTTCCCCTGGCTGAAATTCAGAGGCTCTGGACTGCTGCATGCAGGTCTTCCTTCTGCCATGTGTCTCCACCCCAGCGGGCACCACTGGGCACATCTGAACTGGGTTTTGCAGCTGGCTGGGGCAACACAACGTGGAAAATCCAGAAGACTTGGATGGCTGGTTAAATACGAAGCCGATGCCAAAACTGATGTGCTGGGAAGTCCAGGAGAGCTCCAGGCTTTGCCAACTGTTATGGTTTGGAGCTGGCTCCCTGCCAAGTCTCCAAACCTTACCACAAGGAGTCCCCCCCCACCCCAAACCAAGGGAGAAGAGGGGAAAAAAACCCAAAAGAACCGAAAACGAAAGAGAGACAAAGCAATATATATATAAATATATTTACACTTATGTACAGTTGAAATATATATACAATTTCACAGGGAAAAGGGAAAGGGGAAGGGAAGAACAAAAACCAAAATATATATATATATATATATATATAATCCTGATCAGTAGCCCAAGGTCTATCAACTAAAAGAATTAGCAGAGAATATCTTACTACTCTCCCTGGGACAATGGAGAGTCATGCTGGGGTGACTGCTGGCAGCCTTCGCCTCCCAAGGTCGACAAGGCCTTACCAGGCCTCACTCCCCAACCCGACAGACTCAACACAGGGAGATCTGCACCTCCAAAGCCGCCGGAAGGAAAGAGGGCGAAGGTCTTTCCTCCCTTCTTCTTATACCCCAGTTTACGTAAAAATCGTAGGGAATACCGGGTAAATCTGGGCACTTCCTTGGTTACAAGCTGGTCACCAAGGAAGGCCTAGGCCAAACTACCACACCAACACTGCCTGGAACCGAGGGAGGGGTGTCCCGGTTGTAATTCAAGTGTCTTGCAGGCCCAGTGCTGAGCTGTGGGAAGGTGGCCCCCAGGCCATGCTGTGTGTCCTGACAGGGCTGCGTGTCCCCTCTGCAGGTGGATCGATACACGCTGAGGAACGGCCGGCACATCATCCTGCTGGCCGAGGGCCGCCTGGTCAACCTGGGCTGTGCCATGGGCCACCCCAGCTTCGTCATGAGCAACTCCTTCACCAACCAGGTGCTGGCACAGATCGAGCTGTGGACACACAGTGACAAATACGCTGTTGGGGTCCACTTCCTGCCAAAGAAGGTGAGTTGGAACAGCCAAAGGTGCTTGCGAGGAAGCCAAATTCAGATGGGGTCATTCAGACGTGTCTTGTTTGTGCTTGAGTCTGTTTTTCTGCTGAATGTTGTTGTTGCAAGGAGCTTCTGTCGCTCAGAGGATGCTTTGGGCACGCTGACTCTGCAGTGGGCTGTGTTTTGGGGCTGACCTGGTGTGCAGGACTGGGACTTGCCTGACCTGTGATAGGAGCACCCAGTTGCTTTTTGACTCTTCCTTGACCCTGTCTCAGGGTACTCAGGGAGCTTCTCCCAACCAACTTGGTCCTTCTGATTGTTCCATCTTGTTCCTTCTGCTGATTGTCAGCATTCACAGCAAGCCTTCATGTGCCTGTCCAGCTGCAAAGTGTAGTGGGGCAGAGCTGAAGCTGGAGTGACACTAAATTGCTTTTACTTGGTTGATAGTCTGGGTTCCATTTGCACCTGAGAGAGCTTATCACAGTCCGGTCCTAAAAGCTTCACAAAATATTCATGACAGATTCCCTCATGTTTCCCTTTAAACTTATCTCTGTATTCTTTGTTCTTGGAAAAATCTGGATCATATCATAACTCACAAATTCCTTTTAGAAAACGAACCTGGTTTTAATTTTCCAAAACAAGCCCGAGAATTTGAGATGGTCATGGAAAAAGATGCTAGAGTTAAATCCCACTGCCTTTGGAGTACCACCAGGTGTGAGAGTAAATGTGAAAATACTTTCCATTTGGGAAGTAGAATTTGTATGTTTGGGCTTACTGATTAGGTGTTTGCTGAAGGACTAAGTTTCCAAACCCATCCATTAAGGATCAAGCAAAGCATACCAGAAATGCAGTGTAGGAGTGGATCAGCAACCTGGCACATAATTTTCTTTAAAGGAACAGTGTTGTTGACAGTTCTCTTGAAAATGATAGCCCAGTGTTGCTAATAAAATGTGGCTTCATCCTCTTCCTGAATAACAATTTTTAGTAAGCATACTTGAGCTGGAAGGGAGAGGTGATGCCCAGAGCAGTTAAACACAAAGGTGCCTGTTAGTGGAGCATATGGCAGTGATCTCCTCAGGTTCATACACTGGCACAACACTCTTGACCCTCTGTGCCTCACAGAGGGCTTTGCTCAAAGAATAAAGCAGTTCCCTCATCAGAACCAACAAAGAGCTTTCTCTGATAATATTCTGGGATAATGCCTTTCCTTTTTTTGTGTAGTTACTTTGAGGTCCAAATGTAAAACTTAAGAATTATCAAGTGCCTTACATTGCACTTTCTTTGACTGCAAGAACATTGCTTTGATCAGCTCCTACAAATGTGCACACGTTTCTGCAATGTGTGTTCCTGGAAATCAAGGCATATGGTTGTTTCCATGTTCTTGGCACCAAATCTGTCCTGCTCAGCTTTGATTTTTAAGGTGAGAATGTCATCTTACCTTCATTTAAATTTGTGTATATCTTTATCTAAGTCTCAAAGTCTCCAAGCTGAAGCAGCTGTGAAACAACTGGTCTCTGGTGCAGCTTGAAAACCTTTTCTGGGAATTGTCAGTGACTCAGTTCCTTTTCAAGTGGGTGTAATCTGTCTTAAACTTGCTGGAAATACACCTATGAGAGCTTCATATGTCAATCTACTCAACCAGACCCAATTTTTAACCCTTCTTTTTTTTTCCATGGCATTCTGGCAGGATCTACTAAACTTAAATAGTTGTTTCCCTTCTAAACACAGGCCTTCCAGTCAGCTTTTCTTTCTTTCATGGTTTTCCTGACTCTTAAGTGGAGTTTGGTGGATTTCATGATGGTTCCCTTCCACATTCTTCAACCACTGCATCTTACTTTTCTAATTTTGTCTTGCCCCCCTTTGGCTGTGCTGGTCCCCAACAGGTGTTGGCAGTTCCACATTTCCCGTTAGGAGCAGGTTGAGCTGCAGTGAATTGTACTCTGGGCAGATGCACCTTTTTACCTGGTTCACTGCAGTGGGATTACTTCAGAGTAGTGGCTTGTTACCACAGTCCCTAGGACTAGTTATTGAATCATTTAGGCCATGCTGGTTCACACAAGCTGAAGGTTTGGCCCTTGATTGCTTTGTTGCCCTTCAGATACGTTTCCATCTTTCACATCTATTTAACTGTTTTGGGGGAAATACCACCAATCTCTTCCATGCTGCCGGGATTTAAACTTCTATCTGTTTCCTTAGCACTGATTGTGTTTTGCAGGAATTACAAATGGTCCAGCTTGTCCTCCTGTTGTAACTCAGCAGCACTTGATCCCTACTCGTGCTGTCCTTTGTACCTTTGAAGATCCTCTGTGGCTGTGCATCCCCCTCTGCCACAGCAGCTCCTTTGCCATCCTACTGTTGGTTTTCTGACTCTTCTGCTCCTGGAGCACTTACCTGTCTTCTAACTGTACCCATTTTTCAATCTCTTGAGTTTGCACATCTGCCAGGCACCTCTGGGATAAAGAAATTTCATCAACATTTCTAAGCCTGTGTCCTTCAGGCCACTTTGGCTTTATTCTTCATGAAGACAATGCCAACAGATACAAGTATTGCTGGGTTAGTGATTCTGGAATGAATTTCTAATACATGTACCCCTAAGATGGTATATTTGGAAAGGAAATGCATTTTTTTCCAGTATTATTAGTACTTTTGTAAGGTGATAGTCCATGATGATACGTCCATGTGTCTTTGTAGAGGACACACGACTGGGCCTTTATTTTTCTACCAAACTGCATATTCTTATCTCCAAATAGTTGGATCTCTGTTCTTTGCTTGTTGGATGGATGTGAATGTGTGAGATTGAAATGGGCATGATTATATAAAGTTTTGTGTCTGACTTAAGCTTAATTTGATTTCCCTCTAAAGCACAGGGCTCTTGCATGTGAATGCAGTTCTGTGCTCAGAGAGGGATGTTGGCAGGAGAACAGCTCTGTTGTTGAGTCCCCATTAGAGCTGCTGTTGGTTTCCACATACTCCTTTCTCACTGCTGACCCGTGAGTTCCTGGACTGATAGGACTGTTCCACTGATGTTCTTGTCCCCGTGTGTTGTTTTGCAGCTGGATGAAGCTGTGGCTGCTGCTCACCTGGACAAGCTGAGTGTGAAGCTGACAAAGCTGAGTGACAAACAGGCCAAATACCTGGGCTTGTCGAGGGATGGGCCCTTCAAGCCAGACCACTACAGATACTGAGCAGGTGGCACTACCCAAAGACCAAAGTGCAGGGATACAACCTTCCAAAGCTCTCGTGTGTGCTGGGCATCTGAGGACAAGCCCTTTGCCACCCTCCTCTCAGTGCTGCACAACCCTGCCCCTCGCCAAGGGAGCTCCAGGGCCTTGGTAGTGGAAGAGGATCGCTGACTCCTGCAATTAAATTGGTTACTTAGGGTCCTATGCACCTTTTATTGGCTTCTGATGTGCCAGTAAGGGGAGCAGGACAGAAGATGGCTAAATGCAAATGTGCTGTCTGGTCATACAGGTGGCTGGCAGCTCTGAACAGACTCACCACTGCGGTGGGGAACGGTTCCTGCAGGTTGGTGCTTTCTGCCCTGCCCTGCTGCAGTCAGATGGATCCTGTTGGGAGACTGGCAGTGTCAGGCCCCTCTCCACAACTGCCCTAGCTGAAGTGCTTATTGTGAAACTGGTTGTTTGGTCTCCCTCCTATAAAATCAACTTAACCTCCTACTCAGAGATTAGAGCTGGAGTTTTCTTCTGGATTAATTTACTCTCTCGGTTTTGGTCAGAGCAAAGACCCTTCTGTGCTTCTTCCATACTAACTTGAGTAGGGTGAGGCAAGAGAGACTTTTTTAGCAACCTTCTAGTGTGTGGTGAAGGGCTGAGAAGCCTCTGAGGGGATGGTTGGGTTTAGGGCCCTTGTTGGATCCTCTGCAAACACCAGCAGCACACTGCTCCCGCCAACGTGACTTTTCTGAGTTGTCATGTCTGCTGAATCATGTTTGTCACTGACTCAAAGTGCTTTTATTAAAGATCTGACTGTGGCCTGACTTCTTTTGTACAGTGAGATGCTTTGGGGTTTGCCATGGGTTTGTTCACCTTTGTGTGATCCTTAAGCTACTGAAAAATGTTTAATGTCTCCCCCCGGGGTGTCCTCAAGACAAAAGCCAGTGCTGTGCATCTTGTACTGGAGCTGGGAAAAGCTGCTCCTCAGGTTATTGAAATATTTGCAGGGCTGAATCTTGCAGGAAAGTTGCTCTTCCCCTCTGCCCACACAGATTTATCTCCATATATGTCGTGGAAGTCCTTTCTGGTCACTGTCCTCTTCAGTCAACATTGCACTGTAGGCCGCCTCTGCTTCTGGATGTAAGAAGATGAAAGGTTTGGAATGAAGTTACAAAATGTTTGAAGTTCTCAGACTGGTGCCCAAGCCCTGGGTGTGATGTCAGTGAGCAATTGAAATGTGGTGTAGAGTGTGAACTGTTGGGAGGAGGAAAACAGGGATGAGCAAATAAGGTGTTGCTCAGTATGCAGCTTTTTTCATTGCTTTGTTTTGCACTGACCTCTAAAAAGCACCAATTTCAACTGAATTTGGGTGCCACAGAGCCACCATAAATGATTCCATAATCAGTAGTGGGGATTACCTTTTTAAGTTACATCTATACAGTGAGTTCCACACAGACACACACACACAGTTCCAGTACAATCCAAATGTAGCTGATGGGCCCCTTGTGCATGTGACACAGAATAATGATGGAATGTGTCACTGTAGTAGAACAAATGCAATAGAAAAATAAAGACTTGGTGTTGTCCTTATTCTTCATTAGTTTCCTCCACCTGGCCTTTCTCAACCCCTTTCTCAGCTGAACATCTGTGCTGTAGTACAGGCTTGTAATTCTGCTGTTGGATCATGGCTTCCTAAAATTTATTTAGGAAGGGCCACCTGGAGGTCTGTGGTTCATCCCTGTCCTCCTACCAGGGCCAGTTAGGTCAGGTTGGATATGAGCTTGCCCAGGAGCGTTAGTCTGGGGACAGAGCTCACATCACCTTAGGCTTCTCTCAGGATATGTGAGCACCCTCTAGATGAAAATACTTTTCTGTACACTTAAATGGAATTTCCTGTGTTGCTGCCTGGGCTGGTTCTCATCTGCACCTCTGGGAATGGACCAGCTCCATCTTCACTCCATGCTTGCATTAGAGATTCATAGGCAGCTTTAAATCCCTCTCCACTTTCTCCAGGTTGACTAATCCCCATCTTGGTCTCAGTGTGTGTCCCACTGCCCTGCTGGGGGGGTCTCTGTCTCCAGGTGGATGTCTCCAGTATGTCAGTGTTGTCATATTGAGGAGCCAGAGCTGGATGGAGGTGTCTTTAAAGTGCCAAACAGGGAGAGGGATCCCTGCTCTTCACCTTCTGGCTCCACTTTTCTTTCTACACCTCTGGATGAAGTTTGCATGGGCAGTCAAGGGCCTTACACTGCAGCCTTTGGGGGAAAGGCTGCCTTGCCCTTTTCATCTTTGATCTGTTTTGTTGGGGGTTTTTTGAGAGACAGATCTGGTGGAGCAGCTCCCTTAGTTGGCTGGTTGACCATCTGTGTCAAGAAATGGGCCTTGATGGTCTCCATAACTCTCCTGGATCGTTTGAGCACAAACCCACAGCCCTTCCAGCAGATGCTTCACCTTCCAGAGGTGAAGTCTGCCAGGGTTTGCTATCAAGAGGCTTTTCCCAGCTATCTAAAGAGATTTTCAGCTACTTCCTATTCTGGTCAGGGGGGCCTTAGCTGCCCACAGAGCCACCTCAGCTGGTCAGTCCTCTGATACTGGACCCAGAAGGTTTTCACCTCATTCTTAGAGAACTGCAGTCTCTCAGAATTTGAAGATGGAAGGGCTGGCTGGCACCCTGAATTGATCTAAGATATATATTCCTTTGGGAGATAAGGTACAGTGTGTTAGGAAAGCAGTGTGCCTTTTTGGCTGAAATGTGGGGGTTTTTTGGAAGATCTGGCAGGAGTGGTTTTGGGTGGAGCCTGGCAACCAGTGGTTCTGTGTTAGTGATGCTTTGTTGTTTTGGAATGGGTCAGGACCTTCTTTTTCCATGATTGTTTACTGCAGAATTCACTTAACATGTAGAGAAATCTGTATGTCTATATATATGTACACGTTTGGCTCTTCTCATAAAAACTTGAGGTCCTGTGTTTCCTGCTTGTTGGAGCTCTTGGGAAGTTTGGTGAACATCACTCTGCTGAGCCTCAGAAGATATTTCTAGTGAGACATCCTGGGTGCAAAATTATGTCTGGAGTTTAGCTCCCTCCAGAGGCTTCAAGCACCTGAAATCATCATTCCATAGACTAGTCAGGGGAGTGTCCAGACACCAGCAGTGTGACCAGGTCTGAACCATCCCATCTGCTTTGCAAGGCCCTGGGCCAGGGCACTAAAGCACCACTGTGACAATGAGACCTGTCCAGTGACTTCCTAGCACAGCATTTTCTTTGAGCAAACCAATGACAAGCTGAATTGCTGCTGAAAGTGCAGTAGTGGGAACGAGTTAAAAATGTGGGATTTTGATGATTTGAATTGATAAAAATGCAGAAATCATGTTTGGAATGTATTTGGTTAGATGGTGTATTTATTTTTTGTTGTTGTTGAAGAGCACTAGATCGAAGACAAACCCTAATGAAACCACTGGCAGAATTTCTGCTCCTCCTCCGGCTCCCTGAGGTGCAGTTGTGGTTTGGTGCTGGCTGCAGCAGTGCTGTGCCCAGTACCTGGCAGCAGTGTGGCTTGGGGGTTGGCAGAGGTAATGCAGGACCACGTTGAATATTTTTGTGCACTTCCCATTCTTTAGGTCCAGCTTATCAGCCTTCAGCCTAAACGGGGTCATCTTAGTTCTCACTATGACACGAGCTGTGCTTTGGCCAAACTCATGTGTTACTTCAGTTTGAACTCAAGGGAAATTTTGAATAACCTTTACAGAAATATGTGCAGATTTCTCTTCTATTTCAGAAGCTTTCCAGAATGGGTGGGAGACTTTGAAATGTGACCTTTGGTGTAGCAGCTGATTTTCTGTAAAAAATGCATATTGCAGTTTCATGTTGGGACTCCCTGCTTGTTTCTTAATAGGTGTCCAATCCACATTAAAGGAAAGGTGTCCCCAGCTGGGCAAGAAGGCCAAAGGCACCTGGATTGTATCAAAAATAGTGTGTCCAGCAGGACCAGGGCAGGGATTGTCCCCCGTGCTGGGCACTGGTGAGACCCCACCTCAAATCTTGGGGTCAGTTCTGGGCCCATTGTGACAAGAAAGTCATTGAGGGGCTGGAGAGTGTCCAGAGAAGGGAATGGAGCTGGGGAAGGGTCTGGAGCATCAGGAGAGGCTGAGGGGGCTCAACCTGGAGAAAAGGAGGCTCAGGGGGGACCTTCTGGCTCTGCAACCCCCTGACAGGAGGGGGGAGCCAGGGGGGTCGGGCTGTGCTCCCAGGGAACAAGGGACAGGAGGAGAGGAAATGGGTCCAAGTTGCACCTGGGGAGGTTTAGGTTGGATATTGGGGAAAATGTCCTTCAATAAAAGAGTGGTCAAGCAGTGGCTCAGGTTGCCCATGGCAGTGGTGGAGTCCCCATCCCTGGAGGGGATGTGGCACTTGGGGACATGGGTTAGTGGTGAACTTGGATGTGCTGAGGGAATGGCTGGACTCAATGATCATAAAGGTCTTTTCCAACCTAAATGGCACTATGAGATCACTCAGCCTTGTTACTTGCTTGCTCTTTATGGGCAAGAGCACATCTGATGTCATTTAGAGTTTCACTAAATCATTCACACTTGTTTTTTAGTTCTTTTCTCCTTGTTTGTTTTCAATCCACATGCAATTAATTCAGTACTCAGTCTAGCCTGAGGTCAAGCATCCAGATTCCTCAAATACAGATGGTCAGACCCATTGTGGTTGCTCTGCAATGGTTTGAGCAGGAATGAAGAATAGCAGTGAGGAGAACCTGGTGTCTGTAGGTATCGAGGCTGTGCCCCAACCCCCCCCCCCAGGGGCTCATCTGGCATCCCCCATCCGGCTGGTGAGTCATGGGACAGGGACAGACTCCAGCTTCTCTCACTCCTGGGACTCTGCAGGGCAGATATCACAGTGCCAGGGGAGATGAGCTGCTGGCTCCCTGCATCTGGCACGTGGGATCCCAGAGAGGGTCAGAGGGGTCGCTGCAAACAGAGACCTGTGCACAGGGAGGGATGAGAGTGGGAAGTGGGAACAAATGCAAGGTTCATACTCAAATTTGAGACACTCAGCAGGTCTGGTGTAGGGGTGAGCAGGGGGATGCACAGAATGATGCTCTTGTGTCCCCTGTGGAAGGGGCAGTGAGAGGCTGTCCCAGAGCAGCCCTTGGGCTCCTGCCCCCAACCAGGCTGAGCAAAGGTACAGAGTCCTAAAGCAGCCCTGCCTTTCAGCTCAGCAGCCTCTGCCTCCAGCCTTGTTTGCAGGCTCCTTTTGAGGGGCAAAAATGCACGAAGTGAGATTTCCATCTGTGCACAGAGGAGGTCCAGGTTGGGAGGCTGTGTACAGGGTGTCAGAGGGCTGTGCAGAGGTGCTGTGTGCTCTAGTTCATACTAGAGGAATGGAATCAGATTTGCAGCTTCCCCTCTCCCCTTTATCCCCCACGTATCAGCAACCACTGGCTGAGAACTAGGAAATGTCTAAGTCCTAGTTCTGTTCCTCAAATTTAGTCATTCCTGGCTTTTAATTTAGCAGGGCTTTTTCTACTTGATCAGGAAATGCCCTCAGGAGTAAAGTGCTACATCAGACCTGGTTGCCATGCTGGGAAAAAATTTTAATTTAATGCTATGTCCAATTTCAGTTTGTTTTTTAACGCCTTCAAGTCCAGCAGCAAACCACTGCCTTCAGTGCAGTTGGGCTCTCCTGGGGTGGTCATGAGCACCATCACCTTGGTGTCCCTGCAAAACGATGGAACCTGGTGAGAAACGGAATTACTGAGGGAGGATTGTCCTCCTCGTCTTCAGACAGCTCTGATTTGGCCAAAAGTAGTCACATATTGCCTT